GTATGCAGGGATGATACCATGCACAGTATTGATACCTGGTCTGTTTTTCATGTAACGTTTATCCGTTACTATTATTATAACATTAGGATAAGTTATGATAATATTCAGTATTTGATATGTGGTGCAACACTAATAACCTAATAACTAGACTACCATTATGATTAGGAGTCTGGTTAGGGTTTAGGAGACCTAAAGACAATCAACCACAATGATGGCCAGTGGTTATATAAGGTCACTAGTCCTCTCACTGCTCACAATACATACCTCATACACCATCTAGAGAGAGCTGAGTAAAGTGAGAGACAAAATACTCGTTACCTCTGCAGCAGTCCGGATCGTGCAACCGTGTAAAAATTTAGCCCACAGGCAATTTTTATGGCATCCGAATTTATTTTTTGCATAATTTTACATTGATAATATTATGTACTTCAGTATCTCTATCTAATTTTTTGTGCCTCGAAAATTCTAACCAAGCATTAATTATTATTCTTTACAGCAACTCATCCTGTCACCCAAACACAAATTAATGTTCTAATCCTTAATGAAGATAACTACAAAGAGTGGAAAGATGCTATTCTCTTGCAATTAAGATTATTAGAGTTGGATTACGCTGTTCTCAATGAGGAACCCCCTGAGGTTACTGAAGAAAGCACTTGCGAAGCCAAGCAGCTTCGCGCACAATGGGAGAAATCCAATGGATGATAACGAAAGCGAAATTTGCATCTTAAGAAAGCGAAACCCTTGCTCAAAGCTATCGATGATAACTTCATTGAATCAAAGAAAGTTTTGGCAATGACTCTAATCATGAAGTTGAGAAATTTGCGTCTTTCCACTGTCAAGGGAACGCGTGAACACATTATGCAACTCAAGGATATTGCGGCTCAATTAAAGGAGTTGGAAATCATTCTACCAAATGATTATTTGGTGCTTTTTGCACTTGATACCCTCCCTCAGGAGTACAATCCTTTTAAGATTTCCTACATCACACATAAAGAGGACTGGTCTATCAATGAGTTGATAACCATGTGTGCAATGGAGGAACAAAGGCTTGTGGCTAAGCTTGGGTATGTTCCATCTTCTTTTGTTTGTTTCGAATCTAATATGTCAGAAGTTAATACTAATTCTTGGTGGGTTGACTCTGGTTCAACAATCCACATTGCAAACTCTTTGCAGGATTTGACAAAATTGAGACAGCCAACGGGAACTGAGTGTAGCATCTTCTCTGGAAACAAGATTGCGTCACCAGTCGAAGCTGTCGAAGTTTGCAATTTAGTTTTGGACAATGGTTTTGTAATGGCGTTAGAAAAGACATTTTATGTTCCTAGTTTTTTAGGAACTTAGTTTCAGTATCTAGACTTGTACCCTTCGGATATTCTTTTGAATTTAATACCAATAATATCAAGTTATTTCATTATTATACTTGTGTTGGTACTGGTACATTGTCTAATGGTCTTTTCCGTCTTAAATTAAAGAATGATTCAGTTTACAATTCTTTACATGTTCAAAACGGCACCAAACGGTGCAGTATTAACGACAATTCCTCAATGTTGTGGCATCGGAGATTAGGTCATATCTCCCTTGAGCGTATTAAAAGGTTGGTAAAGGATGGAGTACTTTCTACTATAGACTATACTGACTTTGAGACTTGCGTTGACTGCATTAAGGGTAAGCAGACAAACAAGTCAAAGAAAGGTGCCAATAGAAGTACAACGTTGTTGGAAATTATTCATACTGACATATGTTGTCCTGATATGACAATACCTGGTCAGAAATATTTCACCACCTTTATTTATGACTTCTCAAGTTTTTCCTATGTGTATTTACTTCATCATAAACATGAAGCATTGGATGCCTTTAAATCATTTAAAGCTGAAGTTGAAAACCAATGTAACAGGAAAATACACATAGTTAGGTCTGATAGGGGTGGTGAATACTATGGTAGATACAATGAGAATGGGCATGCACCTGGTCTATTTGCTAAGTTTCTTCAAGAGCATGGGATTGTTGCCCAATACACCATGCCTGGTTCTCCGGACCAAAATGGTGTAGCTGAAAGAAGAAATCGGACCCTTCTGGATATGGTGCGGAGTATGCTTAGCAACTCTAAGCTTCCTAAGTCGTTGTGGGATGAAGCACTTAAGACGGCAACGTATATATTAAACCGTGTTCCAACCAAGGCTGTCCCTGAGACACCGTTTGAGTTATTCAAAGGTTGAAAACTGAGTTTGCAACATATGCGTGTTTAGGGATGTCTGTCTGAGGTGAGGATATATAACCCACACGAGAAGAAACTTGACCCAAGGACGATTTGTGCTTTCTTTATTGGATATGCACAATCTTCTAAGGGTTATAGGTTCTATTGTCCATCTCATACTACTAGGATAGTGGAATCAAGGAATGCTAAATTTCTTGAAGATGACTTGATTAGTGGGAGTGATCGGTTTAAGGACTTAGTTCCTTCTTTCGATCATATTGACTCTCACCCTTCTACGTCATCTGGTGGTACTTATCCGCAGTGCTCCTTTAGTTCTGCCTGCAGATATACCACCTACCGTTCAGATTCCACAAACTGTTGAGGATCAGCCTTTGGAAGAACCAGTTCAGGACTTACAGCAACCGCTTGAACTAGATTTCGAACCAATGGTTGAACCAACTCAGGATATACAGCAAGATTCTGAGCCGATGCAGACTGAACCAATTCAAGAACTGCCACCAGTTCCTGAAGAGGTAGTTGATCCGCAGCCTGTGCAAGGCGGTGGGGGTCCAACCTTAAGACGGTCTACTCGGATAAGGCGATCAACAGTTCCTAGTTATTATGTTTCGTATCTACAAGAATCTGACATAGGGGCTGAAAATGATCTTGAAACATTTTCTCGAGCCACAAATTGTGCACAGTCTGACTTATGGTTAGAAGCCATGAAGTTTGAAATAAATTCCATAAAGGACAATGGAGTTTGGGATCTTGTTGAGTTGCCTAATGGGGCCAAGACCGTTGGTTGTAAATGGGTCTTTAAGGCTAAACGAAACTCATTAGGCAACATTGAGAGATATAAGGCCCGGCTTGTTGCCAAGGGATTTACTCAAAAAGAAGGAATCGATTACAAGGAGACCTTTTCTCCTGTATAAAAGAAAGATTCACTTCGGGTCATTCTGGCATTAGTTGCACATTTCAATCTTGAGTTGCAACAAATGGATGTGAAAACCGCTTTCCTAAATGGTGATCTAGAAGAGGAGGTTTTTATGATACAACCTGAAGGTTTCTCTTCTTGGGGTGGTGAGCATTTAGTATGTAAGCTTAAGAAATCCATATGCGGTTTAAAACAAGCCTCCCGTCAATGGTACATCAAGTTCGATGGGGTAATTTCTTCATTTGGTTTTGTTGAAAATCCCTCAGATAACTATATATACCAGAAGGTGAGTGGGAGTAAAATTTGTTTCCTTGTTTTATATGTGGATGACATCTTACTTGCCACCAATGATAAGGGGATGCTTCGTGAAACAATTTCTTTCTAAGAACTTTGATATGAAGGATATGGGTGATGCCTCTTACGTTATCGGCATTAAAATTCGTAGAGATAGGTCCTGGGGTATACTGGGTTTATCTCAAGAAACCTATATAAACAAAGTTTTAGAGAGATTTCATGTGCAAAATTGTTCATCTAATGTTGCTCCCATAGCTAAGGGTTAGACTTTTGGAGAGCTGTAAAGAGGGTTCTAAGGTATCTAAAAGGAACCAAAGGTTACAAGCTTGGGTTTAGGCAGACGGACAATTTAGATCTTGTCGGTTATTCAGACGCGGACTTTGCTGGCTGTGTTGATTCTCAAAAATCAACTTCAGGGTGCGTCTTCATTATGGCCGGTGGGGCTATTTCATGGAGAAGTGTTAAACAGTCCTTAATAGCTACTTCTACCATGGACGCCGAGTTCGTTTCCAGTTTCGAGGCAACTCCATAGGGTGTTTGGCTAAAGAATTTTATCTCTGGGCTTAGAATTATGGATTCCATATCTAAGCCATTGAAAGTTTACTGTGACAACTCAGCTGCAGTCTTCCTAGCTAAGACCACAAAAGTGGGAGTCGAATTAAGTACATCGACATCAAGTTCTTAGCAATTAGGAAGTGTGTCAAAAATAAAGTTGTATTCTTTGAACACATTCATACTGAGTTGGTGTCAGCAGATCCCTTGACTAAATGCATGCCTTCAGTTAAATTCAAGGATCTGGTTCAGAAAATGGGACTTTTTCCCACTATGGAATTTGTATATACATTCAGTTTAAAATTCTTTGGCATTCAGACATTTTCTCAATTAAGTGTGTACACCTTCATTTGCTTCATATTGATGAGAAAATGTACTTCAGGGACTTGGAATAAACATAGGGTTTATTTCGTTGGGTTTTGTTTCCTAATTAAGTGCTCAATGGCAGTTTGCATTTGATCATAATGGATACTACTCGTGCTAATGAGAACATATCATTATGGTTGGTGTTTTTCTGTTATTGAGTGGTAGTGCTTGCACCAAGTGGGAGAATGTAACGTTTATCCGTTACTATTATTATAACATTAGGATAAGTTATGATAATATTCAGTATTTGATATGTGGTGCAACACTAATAACCTAATAACTAGACTACCATTATGATTAGGAGTCTGGTTAGGGTTTAGGAGACCTAAAGACAATCAACCACAATGATGGCCAGTGGTTATATAAGGTCACTAGTCCTCTCACTGCTCACAATACATACCTCATACACCATCTAGAGAGAGCTGAGTAAAGTGAGAGACAAAATACTCGTTACCTCTGCAGCAGTCCGGATCGTGCAACCGTGTAAAGAGCTATGGCTGGAGGTTAGTCGATCCTGTGATCACATAATTATGATGCATGTGATATTTTAGTCTAACATTTCATACCGGAATCTCCTCGTTGGTTGGTAATGGGAATTACATGCTCACTAGTATCAATATTTATTTGGTGCTATATGGAACTCGATCGGCTTCAGCTATATATTATTCTATACACCTAACCAAGGTCAGGTGCTAAATCCATTTCATTATATTCCAAGGTCTCATTCATATGCTTACATTCCAAACTGTGCTAATGTAGTAAAGGTTACAGGCTGGGGAGCTAGGAAATTATATATGGCTTTCGAAAAAAAAAAAAAGGAACATACGTTTTGATATTTAGGACGGGATGGAACTGAAGCTTTGTTATCACTTTCGGGCTTTATCTACTTGGAGGGAAACAAGGAACTTCTTGAGACACCTGTTGTAGACGCAAGGTCGCTCCAGGTGAACCAGGTGACCTGCCTTCCTTATGCCTTCGAATGTTGTCTTGCTTCCTAGTTGTCTGTCATCATATACACATGTTTAGCATATTTCTGCATAGATATAATGTTCTTGTGTGTCTGTCTAATTAGCAGTGAAATGTTATATATAGGCAACCTTTTAAATGGTTAGAGTTTGACCTCTTTCCTTATTTTTGTTCATGAGTCCATTCAAATGGGAAATTAAAGTTCATTATAGTTCTTTGAGTGTCAATATGAGTTTTTTCTACTTTTACTTGTAGTTCCACTACTCTTGGACGATTTCCACATTTGGTCACACAGCTTTTAAAACCTTGTCACATTTGGTCCTCTGGCCTAATTTTCGGACACGATTGGACCCAAACGTAAAAATGGTTCAATAGTAGTTGGATCAAAAGTGGAAAATATTGTGCAGAAAAACTTACTCTTTCATGGCTTTAGCTAGCTCGACCTTGAAAATCTGATCATTCTCACCCCAAAGAAGATGTATTCTCTGTGAAAGAAAACCAAACATGCATCAATCAAGATATGCTGGAACATCATATCATATTCGACAACTTTTTCCCTTTTCTGGGACAACAGGACTATTAGAATTCTATGTATTTCAGTTAGATTATGATTCTCTATCCTAGTCTTCATGTGATTCCCTCACTATATAATATATATATATATATATATATATATATATATATATATATATATATATATATATATATATATATATATATATTCTCGTATCCTGTATCTTTATGAGAAGTTTATTCAATAAAATACATTCAGTTCTCATTAGGACATGTTGGATAAAATTAAAGTTACCTGGGGAAAGTGAGTGGTAGTATCGACATCATCGTTGTTGCTAACGATCAACCCTTCCAGCAGTTCACCTCTTTCTTTTCTGTTGCTGAACATTACCTGTCATCATCATTAGTAGCTGTTTAGCTCCTTTATTTGTCAAAACCTCAGATAATTAAAGTTCATAGTTGGTTGGATAGTTGGATATGTCCATTGACCAATGAAATGCATATAAAAGTGATGGTCAAATTGGTGGATATGAATCACAATTTGGTCTCCCACAACTGATCTCAACAAGTAGGTTTGGTTGGTTGAACAAACTAACTACATAGTCTCAAAAATAATACTCTTCTCTGTACACCTTATATTATTATTTTTTTTTTTTTAAAAAAACAATAATATAACCATATATTAGCATTGAGGGGTTACATATAGCAGGGATATACTGGACTTTAAATTAAGATGTCAAACCAGTACAAAAACACTGTTTCTTTTGATTTACAGAAAAGTCGCAACATGCACTTTGGGGGAAACCAAGTAACAATGCCAATAAATATTCTACATAAAGTCAAATTTAAAATCTTAAGATTACCAACGCAACTGTTTGACCAATTCGATTGGGATTTTAATCCTATTATTTGTAAATAGTCTTCTATAGTCTTCTATTATTATAATCAGCATTCAAATCGAGAAAAAGTTATATATATGTGAGTTATATAAAATATGTGTGTGTATAAATATATAGAGTAATTTCAATTTTTGGTCCTAAATTTATAGGTAATAATTCACTTTTAATCCTTTTTTATTAGAACATCTTTATTTGGTCTTAGTATTATTGTGGCATGACAATTTTTAGTTCTCTACCAACAAAATCGTTGAAATACTGTTAATACAAAGACATTTCAATTAATCTTTTTTATACAAAGTATGTTGAACCGCTATATTTTTAATGTTTATTTTTTTAAAACATCCATAATTGAAGACTGAAATGTACTTGTATTTAACGATATTTAAACTATTTTATCGATAAAGGTCAAAAAATGATCATGCCACATTTTCATACTAAGACTAAAAAGTGGATGTTATAATAAAAAATGACTTAAAATGGACCAATACATATAAATTTAGGACAAAAAAATGTAATTAACTCAAACCTAAACATGGAAGAATTTCTTGCTTATTAGCTAAGGAATAAGTTGAGTAATTAATCAAATTTTAACATATGAAGATGGAGAAGGAAGAAATGAGTTTGCAGGCCGGATTGCATGCATCATGCATGCATGGCAACTATAATACAAACGTAAATGGCATTTCAATATATATGTGTATATATCAGTATATAAAGAAAAGATTGAAATTAATCTAAATAAATAAATCCACTAACCTGAAGGAAGTCTTGGTGGAGGCGATTAGGGAACCAGTACTTCTTGTAAGCAGCAACCTTAAGAAGCCCCTTTAAACCCTTAACAGATGTCGGCAACAACAGCTCCGATGAATTGGAGAATCCTAGGCTGTGAAGCGTGGCGGCGCTGATCGAATCCGTCATCGCCAATATCGAACCGGAAATCACCATCGCCTCCACCAGCTTCGGGAACATCTCCGCCATCTTAAACGCCACCATCCCGCCGTAACTAAACCCAACCACCGTGCACCTATAAACGCCAGGAACTCATCAGTAAAAAATACAGGTATTTGGTAAATAACTGTTAGCTGATTGAGTTAGTTGATTTGACTAGCTGATAGCATTAGCTGATTGTATAAAAGTGTTTGGTAAATTAACTGTTAGGTGATTACATACAAAATAACTTTCTCAAAAGATGATCGAAAAAGTTATTTTGAATAGTTTTTTGAATTTCAACATTTTGAAAGAATAAATTATTACAAAAAGTTAGTTAATCAAACATTCATTGATTGTTTAATCAAGTCTATAATGATCAAATAAATCAAAATTAAATTGATAAAGTAACTATTTTACCATATACTAGTATAATATATATAATACCTTTCCACCCCGAGCCTCCTGAGCCCCTCTGCGACGCACTCCGCCTGGAAAGTCGGCGACCGGTCCTTGCTATCGGTGATGGAGCCGCCGAAGAAGAGGAGGTCCGGCACGTACACGGAAAACTTGTTCGTCAAGGCACCCACCTGGAACTGCCACGTGACGATGCCCTCGCCGGCGAAGCCGTGGATGAGCACCACCGCGGGCTTGTTGGGCTTGTGTTTCACGGTCTCGTACTTGTTGTTGTTGGTGACACCGCCGGCGCCGGCGGAGGTGGGAGTGGTGGTGGCTTTCTTGTGTTTCTTTGGCTTTTTTATGGTCTCCTTAGGGACCCAGAAGTTCATGACCGTGCCGGGCTCGATCTCAAAGGCGTGAGGTCTAATTCCAGCCATTTTCATCAACCCATGCAACAGTGGCTTCTGAGCTTCCACGAAGTTCACCATTTTTTCCGGCTATGCTGCGTTTCTGCTGTGGTCTCTGCTCTGACCGGTCGGGGACTCAAATGAGGGGTTAGTTCTTGAAGGCAATTCAACAAGTTTTGGGAAGTAAAGGTTAATTTTTGTGGGGAATTGAAGAAGAATGAGTGATCAGATCTCACACATATATATTACTAGTAATTACTATATAATACATTGAGTATGCATGTGATATATTTTCAATTGTATTCACGTACGTTGAATAAATAAATATAAGTAATATTGTATTTTATTATTTTAAATTTTTAATTGAATAATTGTTTTAAACCTATTTCATTGATATCCACACAATTCCACATAGACTCGATCTCATGACTTAACTTCCACATGAAAGAGATCATTACATGTCATCTGAGCATAAGGTGCTTGGCAGTTTAAGAATAAGAGAGTGACATTCTAGGCTACCATATGACACATAAAAAATGGGATAAAACATATCCTTTTAACATTGTAGCAAAAATCGGTCTAGGCACCCGCCTAGGCGCTAGGTGTACCTAGACCGTGGCGATTTCCTCCTAGGCGTCCGCATAGGTAATCGGCCGCCTAGCACCTAACTAGGCCGACTCGGCCGAGTTAACTCGTCCATTTCGATCAGAGTTAACCCAGTCGACTTGACCGTGCTAATCTTTTTTCATTATATATATACACTGTTTTGTAGTTTTAGTTAGCGGCATAGGCACCCGCCTAAGCTGTGTCTAGACGCTACTCTACCGTCCGACTAACACCTAACGCCGCCTACTGCAACCATCAGTAATCAATCAAATGAAAACAATTAAAATGAAGTTCGAGTATTTGTTTTTTCTATTCTATAAATATAAATCATTAAGATTATATAGCAGTTGAACGCCGAAAACACAACGGCAAGCAGACAACGACACGTACAGATGAGGCCATTAATGTATTAACAATGTTGGAGAATGGGGGCCAACCCAGCTAAATTGATTTAATTGTTAGTTTGGTAATCACAAGATTTCAAGTTCAACTATCAGAAAGAGTTACATATTGACCTTCTTAATTTGATCTGATCAATTATGAACAGTCTAAATTAATTTACTTCATTGTTGTCCTTTACTGGTTAAAGTCACAAGAATCCCCGCTAGCTTCTGCGAGTTTCTGTCACACACACACACACAAAAAAAAAAAAAAAAAAAAAAAAAAAAAAAAAAAAAAAGTTGTTACAACAACGTAACCTGCAGGGGGCTTATTGCTTATAGCATGGCAGTTCTATATTTGATGAGTGGTTTCTTGCACGAAATCTCTCAGTTCCTTTTTGGCCAGGCGTCGTTTCATGTTGCAAAAAGAAACATTATTGTCATCATCGACTTAAACAAGGTAAGGTTGTTCGAGTTCTGATCAACCACACTGCCTAATCACCGCCCATTTTGGAATGTCTTGCATGCTGTTTGGGGTGTTTAAGGAATTGAAAATTGAAGATGAACGTTGATTAAGAGTTGTGTCAACTATTTGTTTAACTTATAGAAAGAAGCTAACTCGAAGGGTGTGGTTGAGTAGAAGAGACTCATCCATCTTTAACCAAATGTCAAGAGTTGAATCATTGGTTTTGGAAATGGAGCAGTTTTAGATCTCCAGGTCAGCTGTCTCACCCAAAAGAAGTGTATGTCAACTGGTTTTGAGAATGGAGTCCTTAAATTTACAGGCCAGCTGCCTCACCCAAAAGAGATGTCTACAATCCAGCGAGAAGATTAGTATCCTAGGGTGAAAATCCAAGAAAAAAAAAAAAAAAAAAAAACTTATAGAAAGAAGCTAGGCGGATTTTGTTAAGATTTGCTGACCTACCTACCTGCTGCTTCCCAATTGGTGGATGGCTTCCTGTCAAAGATTGGCTTTTAATTTGTGGTCCATCGCACACCAAATGTTGAAGTCTGAAAAATACTGCTTTTTATTTAGAAAAAAAAAAAAAAAAGTCAAATAAGTAACTGTGGATTTTTGTAATTTATGCAATTAGATTATCGAGCAATAAAATTAAAGTTTGTAACTGAAATATTTAACTCTATAAATCTATGTAATTAACATTCATAACTAATTTCTTTTTAGAAAAATTAGTCAACACTCTTAACATAATACATATATACTCTTAACATAATGCTTATAAACTCTTAACATAATACACATAAACTCTTAACAAAATATACATAAACTCTTAACAGCATACACATAAAAACAAGTGTTAAAAAAAATTGTAACGAACGAAACGGTGTCCGTCGCGTCAACTTTCCACACAACTTATAAAAACGACGTCATTTAGGGTGCGCCCTGCTATACGATATAACGATTGTCTACAATTTGGTTTGGACTTAAGACATTCGGAAATTTATATCATGGACCAGTCAAATAGCATCATGAATCCAAATTCATAAAAATAATTTTGTAAGTTCACAAAAATTAGTTCTATAAAAATAATATTGTAGGTTCATAAAATGACATCAATTGATCAATTATCATATAAATATATTTTCTCTATTTTTTAAAAAAATATGAATAAGATTAATATATATTGTCAAAGGTATCTCATTAATTAAGATATTTTAAGGGCATCCTCAATAGTGTGAAGATTTTGAGAAGATTTTACCGGTGTGATTAGGAAAGAGAAAATGGGAAGGCAAAAAAAAATTGAAATCTGAAATAAAAAAAAAAAAAAAAATTAAAATTACGCGCCCAACCGGGAGCGTGGGTTCCACCCCTATGCAAAACCCCCATTTTTGCAACACAACCTCATCCCTCTCCCTCCTCTCTCTCTTCCACCTTGCCATTTTTTTCTTAAAATCTGTGCAAAACTCCCCTATTGGGAATGACCTAAATAGCAACTATACTGAAATATTTTTTCAAAATATTATTTCAATAATTGTGTAATGAACTTACAATAGTTACTACGAACTTATAGTAGTGACTTTATAAACTTATAATAATGATTTTATGAACCTATAATTATAACTTTATGAACATGTAATAGTAACTTTATGAGTATGAGTGTATGACTTTGTATACCTACTTCGATGACTATCAATTTGTGATAGTGATTTTATAAATGTACAACATTTAATTACTTTATGAACCTATAGTAATATAATGACTTTATGTACTTATAATAGTGACTACTTTACGTAGGGTACTTAGAGTTTGTCACAAGCCATCATGACACTAACTATAGACTTTAGTATAAATAAAATCTTTGTCAACTTAGATCATCTAATTCATATCTCAATTCGTATTAGTTTAATCTTGTAAATTGATCAGAGCTTTTCAACTAGTATACACATTCCCCCCCCCCCCCCCCCCCCCCCCCCCAAAAAAAAAAAAAAAAAAAAAAAAACTAGTATACCCTAGTCAACCGAGCTCTTAATCACATAGTACTCAATGTTGAAAAAAAATAGCATAACATGATATTTTACGTGACTATTGTGGTACAAATATATTTGAGCTTCACTTTGAATTTAAATTGGGTCAAAGTAGATTCATGTTCTCCCTAGTGAAAAGAAGGAATCAATATATTGTACGCTTAAAACGAATTATGGGTGAATGAGAAATTGATTCTTAGACCTATTTGAGTTGGAAAATGAAGATGGAAAGACTTAGATTTATAGTTGACAGTCTACTTTTAGTCCTTTTTTATTAGAACATTCTCATTTGGTCCTAGTATTATTGTAGCATGACCATTTTTATTCCTCCATCAACAAAATTGTCAAAATGTTGTTAAGTACAAAGATATTTCAATCTTTTTTTTTTTTTATACAAAGTATGTTGAATCACTCTATTTTTTATGTTTATTCTTTAAAAAAAATCATAATTAAAGACCAAAATAAATTTGTATTTAACGATATTTAAACTATTTTGTTGATAAAAAATCATAATAGTAAGACCAAAAGTGGATATTCTGATCAAAATGACTTAAAGTGAACTATCATTGCCTCTATATATATATATATATATATATATATATATATATATATATATATATATATATATATATATAGTATCAAAAATGAAATTAACTCTCAAGTCTCAATAGAAAGTCTGTCTTATTCTCAATTCACTATTTTTGTCTAGTTTATATAGGGCCAATTAATTAATGTGAAACCATCACCCCTAAAATTAAATTACAAAAGAATTGTGATAATCAAGCTAGGCTCATCATCAAATTGGACTGGAAGATATACTCTATCATGGGCTTTATGTGGTTTAACATGGTGCAAAATACTATTCAAAATTTGGGCTTGATTTGGAAGCATGTCTTATCATTTTATTTAAGAAAAAGTTCACGGTCACTATCTGAAAGTGCGCTTTAGGTGAAATTAGCGTAGATTTCTCATAATGGTCTTGTAATTTTAGCGGTCAAAAAACTACAATGAGATTTAATTTTAGAATACTACTATTGAAAGATTAACATAAAATGACATTTTAAGTAATCATTTTGAGGTTTAATTTGAGTAAGACCATTTTTTATTTAGATAAATTCAAAGTGAATTTGAATTCTTCTAGTTTAGATAATGCATTTATTGATATATTATTATACGCTCAAAATCGATAATGGTGAATTAAAAATTGATTATCAAAATGGACCTATTGAGTTGAGAAAAATAGTGTTTTGGAAGGCTTTTAATTTGAGTAATGTAACTACCGTCAACATTGAAAATGGATGTAAGTTTGCACCAATATAAATACAATTCAATTTTTTAAAAAAGGGTCATGACCCAATATGATCACACTTGTGTGAGACCGTCTCACAGATCATTTTTTTTCTTTTTTTCTTTTTTTTTTCTATTTTTGCAAGTCGGGTTGGATCAATATTGGAGTGTAATATTTATATTTCAAAATATAATACTAATCTGTGTGAATAAAGTGTTTGTTATTAGATTTGGATTTTTTTAGTTGAAATGATGAATTTTGATATATTATACGCTCAAAATGAACAATAGGCAAATGAAATTAATTCTAAAAAATGTATCCATTAAGTTGAAAAAAATGGAGTTTATTAGGGAGTCTTTTAAGTCACCTTTATCCCATATTAGAAATGGATGTAGGTGTGGAATAAATACAAATCAACTTTTAAAAGTGTTTGAATTGTGTAATATACTCTGTTTGCTAATATAGTTAATTTATCAGTCAATTTTGACTTGTTTGACTTGGTTAAACAGTCGATATGAGTGTTTGGTTAATCAACTTTTTGTAACAATTTATTGCTCCAAAATGCTCAAAACAGTTTTTTCGATAAGTTTTTTGAGAAAATAAATTATATCCTTAAATGTCATTTTGTATGTACTTAGCTATCAGCTATCTGCTAGTTTATTAAATATCTTTTTACAACTAGTTAATATTATCAATTAGTCAAACCCGTTAACTCAATCTGCTAACAATTATTTGCCAAAAATCTGAAAATCTAGTGGGACACGTAGACACAAGGTCGCTCTAAGTGAATTGAACCAAGTGACCTGCCTTCAAACGTCGTCGTACTTCCTAGTTTATTTTATGACTGCCACTTGTTTTTGTTGCTAATTAATTAAGCTACCATTCTAACCATTTAAAGACAAAAAATAATAACACATATAAATATATAATTGAGGGAATGCATTAACTATTATTTATTCATAATTGGGAAAAAAATATGATTTTCTAAAAACAAAATTTATTAGCTTATTATGTGCAAATTATACATATCAAATTTTGTTGACCCATTATATCAGGGCATTCATAGTTCAGATAGATATCTTCTCCATTTCATTTCATTATTTTGCTGTTCCATTTCTTGTAGTAATAAACTTTTCTTGTCTAAGAAATCTTAAGATAATTATTAATGACTTAACTTCTCAAAGTCAGGTACTTGTGAAAGCAAGACAAAGTTAGAAAATTAAAGAAATCTCTATCACCACCTTGCTCAGAAAGCAGTAACAATACATTTCTTGCAAGTAGAATGAGTATTAGCCAATTATTACCATATATGACTGGGGAAAAACACACCATCTATATATCAGCTTATCACTGCCCCAAAAGTTTAATAATGAAGATCCAATTTTATTTTCTTATATTTGCGTAAATACATTTCTTTGTCTAATACCATTCTTATACCAAGTCTTTACCACTACGCCAATATGTATATCTAGTAGCAAAAATGTAGCGTAACTTTATTTCCTTATATATATTTGTATAATAGTCAACTTTACGTTTACATTTCCATGACAGGATGCTAGACTTGACCCTCCAAGCCTCCGTCCAACACTATAACACTTAGTTACCTACCGTTGATTTCTTGTTTCATTTGATATGTCAGGTGTAATAAGAGGATAGTTACTGGTAGACTTGGGTGTTCATTAGGGGGAGCAGGGAAACGACGCGTGTTCGCTATTAGGAACTACGTGAATCAGCGTCTTTTACGACATGTTCACAAAGTAGTGGCTCAGAGCTGTCTTACGTAAGCTTCCCACTTTTGAGTGATGAGTATAAGTTGAGAGTCGAAGCTAAGTAGTATTTTTCAATAAAATATGACAGTACTAAACTGTAAAATTTTGAATAGTAAATGTAATTGTTGTTAGATTTATACTATATGTACTCCCGTAATCTTACTCTCTGATGTGGCAAGCTCTGATAAGTAACCTATTTTTTTTCATGTGGGTGGTGGGTCCCAATACAAGTGTCTACATTAAAATTTTGTGTGCAGAAGTAAGAGCTAAGAGTAAAAAATGAGAATACACATAACATTTTCTTTGTTGTTATTACAGGAATACACAGTTCGTTTCAGTTTTAGTAGTGTTCTGAAACTGTTCATGCACGCGGCACAACTTCAAACAAATTCAAGCTAAGCAAATTACACACCTCGTACGGAGACATCATATCTTAGATTATTAAGAACAAGAAATGGGCGGGATCAAGTCCATCTTCTTTGGACACGAACCTTGAGACCATGTTTCATGTAGAGAATTATGGAGACATTAGGAGAAGCATCATGGTTTTTGACGGCGCGAACATGATAGTTATGGATAATGGCGGCCGCCACGGCCTTCATCTGGGTAAACGCCACTTCTTTGCCCAGACAAGTCCTCGGCCCGGCGTTGAACGCCAAGAACTTGTACGACGGCTCATGTTTCACGGCGCCACGCTCCCAATTAATCCATCTCTCCGGCTTGAACTCCTTCGCGTCTTTCCCCCATATAAACTGCATTCTCCCCATGGCGTACAAGGAAAACATTAACCTCGTATCGGGACTCACTTTGTGTCCGCTGGGGAGAATATCTGTCTGGAGCGGCGATTTGTGTTGGAATGGGACCGGTGGGTATAGCCTTAAGGATTCGCAGAGGGCGGCGTGGAGATAGACGAGGTTTTTCAGCTCTTCTGCTTTGAAAAGCCGGAATTTCTTGGGGTCTTCACCGGAGTTCACGGCGGTCAAAAGTTCGTCTCTTATGTTTTTCTCCACCTAAGAAGAAAGAATAACACAGTATAAATAGTGTGCAAGAGAGGAGGAGAATTAACAGGTTACAACTAAGCTGGTTTACAGGAACGTAAATAAAATTGATAAATAATTAACTAAATATAATATGGCAAAAATTTGGGTGAGGCCATATCACGTGTCTCAAACACGGATAAAATCTTTAATTAATGAAGTCAAAGATCTGATCCATTAATCAAACCAACCCGTCTCATGAATTGAAACCCCTGATCTTGCACTAGTTTTACTCCTATAATATTAGGCACATATAAGCTTAACATTCTCTACCTCCGGGTGGGTTGAAACCAGCCAGATGAACCATGTAAGGGCGGAGCTGGTGGTGTCGCGGCCGGCGATCATGAGATTCAGAATCGTGTCTCTTAGGAACTTGTCGTCGAATTTTAGCCCCATCGTTGTTTCGCCGTCGTTGTTGTTAATGTACGACGTTAAAAGATCGAATCCGTTTTCGTCGTTTATATCATTATCGGGATTTTGGTTTTTGTAGGTCAGGATTAGTTCCTGGCGTTTCATTGTTATGTACTTGCCGATAACTTGGTCGAGAATCTCGCAAGCTCGGCTCAATTTTTTCTCCGGCCCGATTCCCAGCCACTGCTGAAGTTTCCAGAGGCTCTCCGGGAGCAAATGCCGGATGAACAGAACTTCCTCGGCGTCATCCATGGCTTTCGAGAACGGAACGTCGGGGAAATCCACGGACAGACATCCTGGGTCGTAGCCCGTAACAAGCGTGCATGTCGTGTCAAACGTAAACCGCTGGAAAACATCCTGCAAATCCACAACGCCGCCGCGCTCCCCCGCCGCGAATTCAAGAACCGGGATCAGCCCTTTCTCCACCTTATTCCAGCTTGTCCTCACCAAATACCTGTGAAACCTGTACAAAATTTAAGTATATATAGGCCCATTTGGTAAAATAGTTAGCCCGTCAATTTTGACTTATTTGACCACTAGCTTTTTGTAATAACTTATTGCTTCAAAATGCTAAATTTCAAAAAGTTATTTTTTCCACCAGCTTTTTGAGAAAGTCATTTGTATGTAATCAGCTAATAGCTAATTTATCAAAATATTTTTTCTGCAATCAGTCAATGCTATCGACTAGTCAAACCTACTAACGCAATCAGCTAACACCCATTTACCAAACACTTCCATAAACTTTCAGAAGAACAGATATGAGTTGAATTGAAACTGATGTTGCAACAACTATTATAAGCAGACAATTAACAATTAATTATTATAATAGATACAGGACAGGAATTAAACCTCTGGTGAATGATCAAAGCCCTGGCAAGCTTTCTCTGGTTCTTCCACAGATCCAGATCCGAATTGAAAATCCCATCACCCAACACATCAAAGATCTTCTTGAACTCTTTCCCCTTTGGGAAATTCTCAAAATTTCCAGACATTATATAGTGAACATTTGCAGGATCCACCGTGATAAGAATGTCCAGGTTGGTAAACCATGGGCCTTTGAGCAAGAAAGTGCCGCCATGCAGCGACAAAACCGCCGCACACCGGTCGTGAATCTTGCGAACATGCAAGAAAAGGCTTGGTAACATCCCAAACAATGGCACCTTTAATGGTCGCCTATATCCGTCTCGCAAAATTATCCAAATTACAAGGCAAAAAAATGCCACAAAAATTTCAAAATAGTCTATGGAGGCCATAGCACAAGTGATGATTGAAGTTGTCCTTGAAGTTTTCTCTAGCTTCATGCACACTTTATAGAATTATAGCTAAGCCCAATAACAAGTAACAACCACTCTCTGCACCATATCAAATCATTATTTAATTTGCTTCTCCAAATTAAAAATAGAGCAATAGAATACTACTTAGTAATATTTAGGGATAACAATTAGGCGGGTGGAACCCATACCCATCCTGTGGGGATTTTGTGGGGTCAGATATCTCCACTTATAACTCAATTTTAAAATCACAAGTATAAAAATATAAATTAGATAAAATTGTGGACATCAATAAAATTACCGTAATTCGTAATTGTATGGGACGGCGAAGCAAAAGAGGTTGGGAATCAAAGTTGAAAGGTTCACGATTTCCGTCCACTCTACAGGGGGCGAGGTGAGGATAGAGAGATGATGGAGTTTTGTGTGCAATATGAAGACATGAAGCAAAGAAACATGCAGGAGTCTAAGTAGTTGATACTTATTTATATAGGATATATGGACTGATTATTCACTTTAATTAAATTAATTAATTGATACGTATTGAATAAGTTGAAATATAATGTATGTTATTAGGATTTATGGCATGGTGATCCAATTTAGTCAAATGAGCATTGTTGAAGACTTGAAGAGTTGAAGCATATGCTTACATATCTGTTTTCGTATAGTCATATGCTACACTTATCACATCAGTTATGCAAAAATTATATTATTACTTGTCTATTCATTAATTTTTATATTACTTGTGAAAATTACAAAGTGTTTGAGAGGGTTTTTTTCAATCATGAAGATTTTGAAGAACAAACACAATCAAATGAGAGATATTGACGAACGTTTATATATTTGGTTTTATTCTTTATTTGAAAAGATGTCTTTCAAAATGTTTATAAAGAAAAATTTATGCAACATTTTTAAAATATGATGAAAATATGTTGTGAACCGTTGTAAAATAAACACTTTGGTCCTATTTGGTAATATAGTTAGCTTATTAGTCAATTTTAGCTTGTTTGATCACTATTAGCTGTTTGAATTGGTTAAACAATCAATATTGAGTATTTGATTAGTTATTTGTAATAGCTCATTGCTCAAAAACGCCAAAATTTTAAAAGTTGTTCAAAACAGCTTTTTGAAAAATTTATTTTGCATGTAATCAGCTATCAACTAACAGCTAATTTACCAAACATCTTTCTACAATCAGCTATTATTATCAACTAGTCAAACTCACTAACTCAATCAGCTAACAGCTATTTACCAAACACCCCCTTTGTTGATAAGAATTTTCATGTTTGAATTTGTATATGTTATAAAATTATGTTAAATTAATTAAATTGACATCACTAATTTTAAAATTGGACTACGCCCTAAACATAAAATAAATAAAACATTGTAAGCATGTGTGTTCATCATTATATATAAGAAGTTGTTTGAGGGAGAAAACCAAAGCACAATCTTCGTCGTCCACCTAATCAAATTTAATGGTTCTAAAGCAATGATGGAGGAAAATTGTGATGAAATTTTGATATTATTTTCAATTTTAGAAGTACATTTTTCAATAATATACAATGCACTTTGTAATTCTACACATGTATTTTGGCTAGGTTTAAAGTGTAATGCAATTATGGTTATACTTTTACAGTTGATAGTTTAGTTTTTTATTTGGTTAAGTGTTTCACTTTTAATATTAGGGTTTATCCTATATATATATATATATATATATATATATATATATATATATATAGTTGTCATTTTCTTTATGAATTGGTGCAATTGATTTACGTGTAGAAGTTCAATTATATTAAAGTAGGCAAGGTGTCTATAATACTTGCTTTCTTCTAAAGTGCCATATCTTAGTAATAATATTCAACTTGGCTTCTTGCATTTATATAAATCAATTAATTGGTAGTTGGTAGATATATAATACATGACATAATAACAATTGAAGGGTGTTTTCGACGATAACTCATTCGAATGACTATCGTACATGGCTGCTTATTCGAATACGTACGATTGCTGATAAAACAAAAATGTTTCTTATGTTACTAAGTCTACTCTATGGTGTTACTATTTGCACTTAAAATTTAAATTATTTACGACAGTTCTACTATGTTTTTTCCTCCGTCCTTGCTTTAAAGTTGTTAAATCTTTTCAATCAACAACTCTAATTGATTCTTAGTTCTTTCCTACCACCGATTTCTAATCTGATCCAAATCCTATATATACAGACTAAATTAGTCCAAAAATTATAAATGCAATCAATATTATTCTTAATTCTATATACACCAAGATGACTAATTTGACCCATCATGCCATGACACTTTACTAGTTTTACCTTAAATTTTACACATATTTTTATTATTGATATAAACAACAAAAAGTAAATGTAGAAGTGTGGAACGAGAACTTTGAATAAAACATCAAATACATAGTGTGAGATTTAGGAATAAGTGTCAAATAGATCAAATCCTCTAACTACTAGTAAAACAATTAGTATTAGTATATATAAATATATATTTAGACACTAGATGAAAAGTATTATTAAAAACCAATAAAAAAATTATAAGAAAATAACTGAAGAGAGCTGAGTTAAATTGACAATAAATAGTAAAGATGACAAATAAAATGGTACAAATGAATAATAGATAAATGGAGTATATAATTAAATATTTTGGTTGACTATTTGTCCTCAATTTGAAATTTAAAAGAAAAAAGTCATTTTCTAAAAAATTATTTATTAGATTATTGGACTTTGAATACTATACGTCACCAATATGGCAATATGTGAAGCTTTATAACATCTGCAAACTATGCATATCAAATTGTGTTGAGATATCTACTCCATTTCATTTCATTTTCTTGTTATTTTATTATTTCGCAGATTCATTTCTTGCCAGCTCTTCTTGCCTCAAAAATCTTAACTAATGACTTGTCAACATTGAGCAAAATATATATAATAATAAATGTATAGTCTAACTATCGGATAAGACTTTTAATTAAAACATTACAAATCTTTCAATTTAATATTGAAATTCAATCAAATCTTTGCATCACCTGATAAAAGAGATTATGTATCCACATATTGCTTAACCCATTAAAAAGTAATCGACATGCATACGTAAGGATGTGTGTTAAGCATAATACATATAAATTAAATAATAAACATGCATTGTAAATTTGTAACTATAAGGATCAAGCACTTACTACTATGCCAAAAGTTATAGCTAGTAGCCAATGTGCCCGCAATTTTATTTATTTATATTTGTGTAGCAATCAGCGCCACGTTTCAATGGCAGGATGCTTGACTCGACTCTCCGAGCCGTCCAACAATCCTCCCAACACTTGCTAGCCTCAACTACACATCATACTTTCAATAGGATTTGCCTCATCAATTGCACAACATGCTACTCTGATACAAGATCAAGCACTTATCATTATGTCAAAAGCTAAAGCTAATAATGTTGAAAGCGCGACTTTATTTTCTTATACTTGCATAGCAGTCAGTGTTGTGTTTCGATGGTAAGATGTTAGATAGACTCGACTTTCCGAGTCGCCACCTAGCAACAACTAAAAATCACAAGTGATCAGATAAAAAGCCCTCTATTTCAGGAAAAAACATATGAGATAAGACGAATACTTCAAATAGATATCAATTTTAGAAAGGTCTTCAATACCTAAAATAATTTTAATTTGCATCCTTATAGTTTAAACGTTTCTTGTGAAATTATAGATGAAAATGATTAGTGTGTTCCATTTTTGAAATTGGTAAACCGTCTCGGAGTAGGAGTGAAGTGAATCGTCATTAAAATAATGAATTGAAAACATCTTAGTTTTCGTATTAGTTGCAGTGTCTCTTTCTGGACAACTATTTACCATTTATATTGTTTTGTATATCGTTATTAACACGGTAAACGTATTAGGTAAAAGTGTTAAATATATCATCTTGTTATTGAAACGTAATATTTTATTACTTATTATAACTTTTAATGTAATAATAAACGTTTTATCCACTTGCAGTTACAAATTAAAACAAATATTAGAAGGAGATTGTTAGGTGAAGGTATGGATGATTAGGTAAGCAGTTAATCAAACAAGTAGGAAAAAAAAAAAAGTAAATGGATTATTTGATTTAATTTATGTAGCCTCATTTTAAAAAATTAGTATTACATATGCCACATGCATGGTGAATTGCTTATTGCATACGTCTGCTGAAAAAATGAAGATAGCGTGAAAGCTTAAGATGCATAAACGGTAACTTGAGATACGATCCTATATCAAAGCAAATAAACTTTTTTATTTTTAGAAAGAAACATAGTGATGCGTTCCTAATTCATACAATTCTCGAAAAGAAAAAAAAAAAAATTTACTACTTAAACATAGGGGTTGTGATTTTTACTGGTAAAGGATCACAATATGGTAAAGGATGACAAATTAGTTTAAATTATCTATAGTTGACATGCTCAAACAAAAAATGCTACTAAATAGCTTCACCAAGAGCCAAATTTAATAGTTTATAATTTTTTTTTTTATTACTACTATTGACTCAAGTAGTATCTGTTTTATACTTTCTCTATCTGTTACAATTTAAAGAGTTAATATCTCACGATTAGAGTTCAATCCTGTAAATTTAATGTTTGGTAAGCAATTTGATTAAGCTGCTCAAAATACTGAAATTAAATTGTTTAGGTAAGTTCAATAAAGAAACCCAAAAGGAAAGAAGTAACTAAGAAGCAGAGGTTATAAAAATTATTTTAAAAAAAAAAAAAAACCGAAGAAGAAGCAGATGATTCTTTATTGTGGGATAAGATTGGTCCTAACTTCCTCGTGCGGTTCTGGAGACTTAAATCCGAAAATAACAAGATTTATAGTGTTCCCTTATTTATTACAGTGCGATTAGTTGGTTGGTGGTAGTACTCACTTTGATGGGGACATGGGATTTAAGACTTGATCCAAATTGGGTGATGAAGGAAAGAGGTTAATTGGCGTATATTTTGTTGGGTTAAGAATGCATGGTAGTCCAAAAAAAAATATAAAAGAGGAGAGAGAAAGAGTTCGTCCGGAAAAATCGCCCGTTGTCGGCTACTGACTGACAGGGTGGTCCATCGGAATCCCCATGGCGGGGCGGGGCCGGCGGTTGTGGGGTAAGTCCCGCGGGACCGGTGGCGCCCCACTGGCA